CATTCTTGTGTGCATTTTCGCCGGAGGAATTTGCACGCCGCGCACGGGGAATTTGACGACATTATCAACAAAAATCAATCAATCAACTTCTATCGCTCTATTTCTCTCCAAATCTGCCCAAAAAAACAAAAAGAATCCCCCAGAAAAGTATGAGATGAGAAGAAACGATGAAGATCAACTGATTTATGTGAACTGTGAAGAAAATAAATAAAATAAAGATCGAGAGTGGGAGCAAAAGAACAAAAGCGAAGAATCTGATCGGCCAAAATGTTGCCGATATTGTCAACCATCCGAGAAATAGCTTCCACGAAACACTGATTTCAGGAAAAAAAAAAAGAAAGAGAGAGAAGAGAGAAAAAGAGAGCGACAGTGGAACAGAAAACAATGAAATTAACCTAAAAAAAAAATGTTCAATGAAGCTCTTCCTTCATCTCTTCTCCTCTCTCTCTTTCTCGCTATTGGACTCTCGAAGTTCTTCGTCTACGGAAGCAATTGAAATCAATCTTGCGTTTCCGAAATCAAATTCTCGTAAAAACCTAACCACGAGATAGAAGAATCAAAAGCGACGAAAACCTCACCTCGGATTGCAATAATTTCCCTTCGTGTTTCAACTCGCGTGGATCGAACTCTCCTCCTCCATCTCGTAGCCTTGAAACTCCATGAAAGAGGGAAGAAACAGAAAAAACCTGCAACAGAAAAGCAAAAAAGAAAAGAAAAAAACAAAAAACACAAAAAGACAAAGAAAAACAAGAATAAAGTCTAAGCTAAAAGCTTTGAAAATGCACAGATTGAAGAACAAAAACAATGGCGAAAAGGCCGAAAACCTTCAGAAGAGAGAGCGAAAGAAAAGTTCTCTGGTTTTAGGGTTTCGAAAACGAAAACGAAAGCGAGAGCGCTGGATCCGATCTTCGAGTTTCACAATCCCCAACAGAAGGAGAACAGAAAGAGAGAAAAGGGAAATCAAAGAATTTAATTTAATTTAATTTAATTTATTAATTTCAAAATAAAAATAAAATAACAAAATTGATATTGTTAGAGAGAAAAAAGGAAAAAATTAAAATTCAAAAAGGGAATTAAAGATCATAACTGTGGCGTCGACGTCAAAATATAAAAATGGGGAAATAGGAGCCGTTGAGATCGGGGGGAGGAATGGGGACCGTCTGATGGAGATTTGGGGTTTCAAGAAACGTAATATTGTTAACGTTTGAAGGACCTCTCATTCTGAGCAACAATTGAATGCGTCTCTGAGTTACCTCTT